ATTCCCATCAGCAATGTATGAGGGTTTGTTGAGAGAACTAAGTGATGTAATTAACATAATGTGTTAGCATAGTGCCTGGTCATAGTGAATCTTCAAGAAATGGTAGCTGGTGCTAACCGAGATCTTAATAGAATCAACACTACCCACGGTACGGCTGTCTTCTTCCCTGCAAAGAAGGTGGATCTCTAAAGTATTAACACCCACATTCTTTATGCTCTTAGCCTGGCACTCAAGACACCCGCACACCCCTACCTCCAACTATTTATCCAGTCTTGGCCAGCAGCGACCCACCTTCTAGCGGCTGCCTACGCAAGCTGATTAGCACTTTTGCTCACATTCTCTGCCCTCTTCCCTCCTGTCTTCCTCCTGCCTGCTCTTCATGTATTAGAATCCAGGCTGGGGACGCCCGGGTGGCTTAGTGGGTTAAGCCGCTGCCTTTGGCTCAGGTCATGATCCCATGACTCCTTGCTCGGCAGGAAGCCTGCTTCTCTCTCTGCCTCTGCCTGCCTCTCTGCCTGCTTGTGTGCTCTCTCTCTCTCTCTCTCTCTCTTTCTGGCAAATAAATAAATAAATAAAATATTTAAAAAATAATAATAAAATAAAATCCATGATGGCCTTCAACACTCAACTCCAATGTTCTTTCTTCTTTAAGATCTACCTTGGCTTTCTAAGTAATTCGTCAGTCCTGTCCAATTGTTTCCCACTAACCATGAGTGGCTACTAAGCACTAGAAATGTGGCTGGTCTGAACTGAGACGTGCTGCGTGAGGAAAAGCACACCAGGGGCACCTGGGTGGCTCTGTCGGTTAAAGCCTCTGCCTTCAGCTCAGGTCATGATCCCCATGTCCTGGGATCAAGACCCGCATAGGGCTCTCTGTGCAGCAAGGAGCCTGCTTCCGCCTCTCTCTTTCTGCCTGCCTCTCTGCCTACTTATGATCTCTGTCCGTCAAACAAATAAATAAAATCTTTAAAAAATAAAAAAATAAAAAGGTGGCTGGTAGGAAACTTTAAGTTACAAATGCGGTCCCACTGGGCTGCCTCATGGTTCTATCTGGCAGTGTTGGTATAGGGCATCGATATTCTAACAGTTCCTGTTTATTGAGCACCTCTTTCTTTCTTTCAAGATTATTTATTTATTTATTTATTTGACAGACAGAGATCACAAGTAGGCAGAGAGGCAGGCAGAGAGGAGAAAGCAGGCTCTCTGCTGAGCAGAGAGCCCGATGTGGGGCTCAATCCCAGGACCCTGGGATCATGACCTAAGCCGAAGGCAGAGGCTTTAACCCACTGAGCCACCCAGGTGCCCTTGAGCACCTATTTCTTACATTTTTCTGCTATCTGATGTAATGCTCACCACAATCCTGTGGGGTTGATGTTATGAATATCTCCTTTTTTACAGATAAGGAAGCAGAGGGAGGGTGTGACCTCCCCAAGGTCACACAGCTGGACGCCAGCAGATTCAGTATTCAAACCCAAGTTGTCTGACTCTGAAGCAGAGTCTCCCATGGGATTCTACTGCACAGACTACTAAAGCACCAGGGCTTTGGGGGTCTCCGTGGGGTGTCTTTGGCTGGAATTAGAACAGCTCTGCATGGTAATGAATCATGCTAATCAGAAACTCTGAATGCTTGTCTTTCATAAATACAAAATGAGAAAGCAGATTAATTAATATAAGCAATGCATTTGGAATAAATTGGATCTTGGGATCTGTGGGTAGAATAAAAGGCTGAGGACCACTGATCTAAACAAAGATCTCGTTTTGCAGGTGGGTGAACTGATGCCCAAAGAGGACAGAGGATTTGCCCAGGGTTGTCAGCTAGTGGCAGAGCCAAGTGCAAAGGTTGTGTTTCCAAGATTGGAGGCTGAGCCTCCCTGCACATACCTCCGGGTCTCTGCCAGGATGGTCTCTGCCCCAAGCCACTTGGAAGCCCTTTGTCTTGACTCAGCCTCCTTCCTCCCCCAAGCCCTGTCCCAAGGACTAGATGGGAGGGGGCCAGGAGACCCAACCCATTTCCCATCAGGGTCCCAAGGCCACCATCTGGTCCTGGGCCAGGAATTCCTTTCACAGACTGAACTAAACTGGGCCAAAAATAATGCTGAACCCTTGGATGCCTCCGAGAGCCCCTGTTCCTAGTGGACCCTGGTCTAGCAGGCCAGGCCACCCCAAGTCTTCTCCCTGCCTGTTCTCTGGGCTCCCGCAGTCTTCCCCTTGCCAGCTCCCATCTGCACTTATACGTGTGTCCGTGTAGGGAGAGGAATGTTTCAACAAACTACCCACATCCCAGGTTCTCTCTTGCCAGCCCTCTCCAAAGAGGCAGGAGACTGTGCTAAACCCAGCAGCGTCCCTATGAGCGAACCCAGGAGAGCCCCAGCCGGAGACACAGACAAGGAGCCACCAAGAAACTGAGACAAGGCCACAAAGAGGCACACAGAGTGTGTCCGAGAGACAAAGAGAAGAGATAAAGGATGGGTGTTTAGATCTAGATAAAGA